TTCTGGAGCCACTAATCATGTTTGCAATTCATTGCAGGGATTCCAAGCGTCCAGAAGCCTCAATGAAGGAGAGATATACTTGCATTTGGGATCTAATGCCAAGGTGGAAGCTAAAGCAATGGGAGTGGTTCATATGCAGTTTGATAATAGGAGGAGTCTTATTTTAGAAGATTGTCTTTATGAGCCAAATGTTAGGCACAATTTAATTTCAGTTTCTTCGTTGGTTTGCAAAAATTATATTTTTACTTTTGGAAAAAAAGTTTTAATTAAATTAAATGGTTGTGTTATAACTTCTGGTGCATTGAAAGATAATCTATATGTTTTAACTCCTATCTCATATCAAATGCAAAATTATGAATTAAATGCAACTTCATCTAGATTGAATGTTAAAAGAAAAGCAGTTTCTCCAAACTCATTGTATCATTGGCATCTACGATTGGGTCACATCAATCAAAATAGGATTCAAAGGTTGGTTAAAGAAGGTTTATTACCTTGTGAGGCAGAGGAGCCTATGCCAACTTGTGAATCATGTATTGAAGGAAAGAAGACTCGAAGGGGTTACTCAGCCAAAGGATATAGAGCCAAAGAACAATTAGAGTTGGTGCACACAGACGTGTGTGGTCCCATGAACACCCAAGCGAGAGGAGGGTTTGAGTACTTCATCACTTTCATTGATGATTATTCACATTTTGGATATATTTACCTAATGCGACACAAGTCAGAAGCTTATGGAAAATTCCTTGAGTTTCAGGCGGAAGTGGAGCGTAGATTAGGTAAACTTATCAAAACACTTCGATCTGATCGAGGAGGTGAATACCTCTTGGGGGAGTTCAAGGATCATATGGTCAATGAGGGTATTGTGCGCCAGTTATCCGCACCTGACTGCCCTCAACAGAATGGAGTGGCAGAAAGGAGAAACAGAACTTTACTTAACATAGTTAGATGATGAGTTTTGCTATATTACCTCTATCATTTTGGGGATTAGCCTTAGAATCAGCGATGTATATTTTGAACTGTGTTCCATCCAAGTCTGTTTCAGGAACACCATATGAGCTGTGGTTTGGACAAAAACCTAGTTTAAATCATATGCATATATGGGGGTATCCAGCACACGTACGAAAGAAACAGGCAGACAAGTTGGAAGCAAGATCAGATGCATGCTTGTTTGTTGGCTATCCTAAGGGCACTAGAGGTGGATTACTTTATGATCCCAGGGATAATAAGGTTATTGTCAACACTCATGCTGTTTACCTGGAGGAGGATTATATTATGAACTACAGACCTAGTAGCCAGATAGTGTTAGAGGAGATGGTTGGCACGTCAGATATACCCCCTGTGGACACACCTAATATAAATACTGAGAATGATGAGACACAAGAAGTCCCTGTTGAATTACCATCATCTAGTACATCGATTCCTGCACCGGTCCTTCGGCGTAGTGGGAGGACTATCATCCAACCCGAAAAACTCACACTTTTGGGTAAGGTCTATGAGGCCGTCCCCGATAAGCATGAGTCGGACCCAGTAAGCTATGCGGAAGCGTTGACCGATATAGATGCGAATCGTTGGAAAGATGCCATGAGATCAGAGTTGGAATCGATGTATTCTAAAAAAGTCTGAGATATTGTAGAACTTCCTAGTGGGGTTTAGCCATTGGTTGTAAGTGGATCTACAAACGAAAGAGAGGAATGGATGGGAATGTTGAGACATTCAAAGCTAGACTGGTTGCCAAAGACTTCACTCAACGTGAAGGTATTGATTATGAGGATACATTCTCACCAGTTGCAATGCTTAAATCTATTCGCATTCTTTTGACCATTAGTGCTTATTATGACTATGAGATATGGCAGATGGATGTTAAGATGGCATTTTTAAATGGCCATCTTGAACAAGACATCTACATGAGGCAACCAGACGGTTTCGTAGTTAAAGGTCGTGAGGACTGTGTATGTAAGTTGAATAGGTCTATTTATGGACTTAAGCAAGCTTCATGCACATGGAACATTTGTTTTGATCAGGCAGTCAAATTATTTGGCTTTGAACAAATGTGTTTGAACCTTGCGTTTACAAGAAAAAACAGGGTAATGTCATCATGATTCTCGTTTTATATGTTGATGACATCTTGCTCATTGGTAATGATGTAGAAGCATTGTCATCAGTTAAAAGGTGGTTATTCAATAAATTTGAGATGAAAGATCTTGGAGAAGCAAGCTATATTCTTGGGATCAAGATTATGCGAGATCGGGTTAAAAAGAAAATAGGCTTGTCTCAAGAGTCTTACATTGACAAAGTTTTGATCAGGTTTGGAATGGAAAACTCTAAGAAAGGGTTTTTGCCATTTAGACATGGGTTGGCTCTTTCTAATGACCAATCTCCCAAGACTGATAAGGAAATTGAGCAAATGAGGCGGGTACCATACGCTTTGGCAGTTGGTAGTCTCATGTATGCCATGGTCGGGTACCATACGCTTTGGCAGTTGGTAGTCTCATGTATGCCATGGTCTATACCAGACCGGACATCTGCTACTCTGTAGGGATTGTCAGTAGATATCAGTCCAATCCTGGACTTGATCATTGGTCAGCTGTGAAGAATATCTTAAAATACCTTAGAAGAACTAAGAATCTAATGCTCATTTATGGAGGTGATGATCTGGTTCCAGTCGGATATACGGATTCTGATTTTCAATCAGATCCTGATGCCAGGAGATCTACATCTGGATATGTGTTCAAGTTCAATGGAGGGGCAGATAGTTGGAAGAGTGTCAAGCAGGGTTGTACTGCTGACTCAACCATGGAAGCAGAATACATTGCAGCCTTTGAGGCAGCAAAAGAAGCTGTTTGGTTGAGAAACTTTCTAATTGAACTGGAGGTTGTGGAGCACATAGATCGGCCTATAACGCTTCATTGCGACAATAGTGCAGCTATAGCCCAAACCAAGGACCCAAAATTTCATAAAGGAACAAGACACATTCAGAGGAAACATCATGTGGTTCGTGATATAGTAAAGCGAGGAGATATACTTGTGGCTAAGATTGCATCGGAACATAACCTTGTTGATCCATTCACAAAGGCTTTACCGATCAAGATGTTTGATCGTCATATGGAGAACATGGGAGTTAGATGTGATTTGAATTGGTTATAAGTGCAAGTGAGAGCTGTTAGGATATGTGTGCCCTAGCATAGCAAATTCTAATTTTGGATTGTAAAAGTCATGGTTTCTTATTTGGATATTATTATTAAAGCATTATACAATTGGTGAATGGAATGTATTATTTTTCGATTCTTTATGGAATTGATGGTGTCTGCTTGATTACAAAATATATTTATATATGTATGTAATGGCAATTAATACTATGATATAAATTAGTAATCATAAATGCTTTAAAGTCGGTAATTATGGATGGACATTTAATTAGTTAAGACTTAAACCGAGTTCACAATAGATTGAGATATATTGCGAGAGCTGTCGTATGCAATTGCTTTCTATCACAGTCATGGCTTTTGACTCTCAAGCATGAGAGAAGTATAGACTCTTTTATTAATTAATAATTACTTTGATTTGTTCAGCGGATACCTCGGGATCCTTAGATCGACACTTTGGGTAGTTATGTAATTAATAATTAGAAGTCTATATTCTCAATATTTGCATCAGTGCTATTTGTATTTATTTTGTTTTGATTATGGTTGATCACAAATTAAATTTAAAGGCCTTCGTATGTTTTAGACAAATGTTTTCTATATATATTTATTTAATAAATTATTATTATTTTTTGTCAAATAAATATTTTATTGTGATCGAGCCGGTAATAATCAAAGGTAACAAAATTATTATATTAATTATGTTGTCGGATTGATGGCTTTAATTATCCGATAAATAATTAAGCATCGAGGGGTCAAAGTGCAACATTGACTCAGATGTTATTTACTATTTAATTGGAGTGCAATTAATTTCTTTTAGTGGAGTAGAAATTAATTTATGAATTAATTGAATTGGGTCCATGGTTTAATGGACCGGACCAATTATTAATTTATAGGAGCCAAGAAAATAGTAAGCCCAAAAGGATTCTCACCAATAGCCCAAGTTGATATTGGAGTCATGTTAGGATTGAGAAAGTTGAATTAGAGATGGAGAATGATTTATTATTTCCTTATTCTTATTTTATTTTGCCTATATATACATGAGTTCATGTATATTTTAGGTGTGATTTGGAGAACAAGAAAAAGGAATACACTTTCTCTCTCTAGATTTTAGGGTTTTGTTTTCTCTTCTAAAGGAGGCTACCACCAGCCTAGATTCTAAGGTCATTCATCAAGTCATATTGGTGATTCCTAAAGGGAAGATAATAATCGAACGGAAGGAGAAAGAATCTTGCTAAAGGGATCTACAATAAGTGAGAACATTCACTTTAGAGGAAAGTTCAAAAGGTTTAGTCAGACATTTGATGTAAGTATTCAATCTGTTTATTGAATTATGCATCATCTTTTATTTATCTTTGCATAAAACTTGTCTCTGTGTGATGAATCAAGATTCGTGATTGCAAATCCCTTAAAAGTTTTAAAAACTTGCACGTTTCCCAACAGAGGATCCATGAAATCGAAATGACTTTGATAATAATATCTAAGATTGAGAAAATAGAAGAAGAAATAAGTTGAATGGTAGATAATAGAGATGTGTTAGATGTGATGAGTGATGGTAGGAGTTGGAGTATTTATAAAGATTTTAAAATTTTTAATTATTTTTTTTTTTAATAAAGTTAAATTTTTTTGAATTTTTAAACTTTTTTTTTAAAATTATAGCCGTTAAGGCTCTGTTTGTGTCAGCCAAACAGTGCCTTAACGGCCAAATATAGTATTTGTGGTACACATTTAAAATTTAAAGCAAATTTTTTTTATTTAAAAAAAACCAAATTTTAAGGAAAAAAAGAAAAAAAAAAAGAAGGTTTTTTAATTTATTTTTGGCCCAAAATTTTCTTTTTTTGGACAAATAATGTCTAAACAATATATTTTTTATTTAATGAATTTTATTTTTATTTTTTCAAAAAAAAGGGCTCTAAATAACCTATTTTTAGGTTTTTTTTTAAAAAAATTTCTACCAAACAGTGCCTTGGCACTGTTTCAGTCATTGTGCGCAACCGTTGGAGGAAAAAACAAAAAAGGCAACAAAAAACGACGCCGTTTTGCAACAAAAAAAAAAAAAAAATTCACCTATCGGGGGCGTCTCACTGAATACCGCGAGCCGGCCCATGAGCAAAATTGAGCCCCATCATTTTTGGCTAGGCCGTTGCACGCCCAAAGGCCCTTTTGCTCTCAAAAAATGGACTTTGAAGAGCCCGCAGCCGTTGCTCTTAGTGCAAATGATGGTTGTGTGTAGTCATGTAATGACCCCCATCTTTTCTAAAAAAGAATTGTTAGCACAACCACTTTTGGCCCATCCATTACCTGTTTCATCATTCTTGTTTTCAACTTAAAAGATGAGAGTTGAAAACAAATGCGTGTAGGCAAGCAACATGTTATGTTAGCGTTGCTTTTCTAATTTTAATATTTTGAATGCATACAGTGATTGTCACGGAGTTGTTTATTTTCAGATTGTGTTATTGACATTATACTGTTGCTTTTCTACTTTTTATTTTTATTTTTTTATTTTTTTTATTTGTTTTTATAATCATATTTTTTGTATTAGCTATTTTTTGTTTCTTCAATTTGTTTTTATTAACATATATTTTTGTCATCATCATTGAATAGCCTGAAGAAAAAAAAAAAAAAAAAAAAATCAATAGAGAGACCAAAACCTCTTGTTGCATATGACGTTGCTCATCATTTTTCAAAAATCGATTGATCGTTTTTTTTTTTACATTTCCTTGTCAAATAATTATCATTGTCCGAATAGAAATAGTTAGACTAATGAATAGGTAAGAGAGAGACTGCATTATCAATGACTAAAATAAAAACTTTGATTTTCATTTAAAAATATTTTTAGAAGCCAAACACCAAAAGATATTTTCTGTAAAATATTTTCAGAACCTTTACCAAACACCATAAAATCAAAATAGAGAAAACATATTACGTGAAAAAGTTTTTTATAAATAATATTCTCCAAGGATGATATTTTATGTCGAAACAAATGAAAGCTGAGAAAATAAATTCAGGTTGGACCGGTCAAAGTTGATTTAAGCTTTGACTCCAGTAGTTGCAGGAGGATTGAGTTCTCTTGAATATGGAGATGACCTAGCAAAGCAAAATGGTTCATAGGCCTGCCATTGAATGCATTCTACCCAACAATTTTGTTGAAATAATGGACTCAACCCACCATTTTGGCTGAAAATGGCGAGCATGAATAGTGCTGTTTACCGTCACTTAAGTCACAGAATCTCACCGTCTTACTCTCACTCTCACATTCTGAATGCATTCCCGCGCTCTCACACTGTACGTGCTCACTCGCATTTTATTTTGTGTGATTTAAATTTTACTCTTTTTACTCTCCCATTCTCAAATTCGCTCTCGCTCACACTTTATGTGATGTAACAACCACAACCCCACACAAATACAAATACAAAAAAAAAAAAATGAAAATGAGACTAGTATGAAGTGATTTTGATTGAAAATTATATTGCAAGAAGGTTAAAATTCTATCTATGAATGCAATACATCATAGATAATGAGGAAAAAGAAAGCGTTACTTTGGAGATATATAAACACAACTAAGAAAATCACATGAATATAACCTTTTTTTTTTTTTCTTTTTTTCCTATCTTCTTCCCCACCAATCCTCAAGCCCTAGACTAGGTTGGTCACACAAGCCAACTCCAAAGTAGAAGGGTAACTTTCAAATAGTTGAGGAAGTTAGTTGCATAACCAAAGAATATCGGTCAAGTGACATTTTTACACCATCAGAAATTTGTCGAAGGCAAAGCCATACTCATACTCGCACAGTGTCAAATGCATATGAAAACACACATTAAATGTTCATAAACTATACATAGCCACTGGATTTTGATACATAACTTCAGTGGTTTGTGCCTACCAAGAAGGTTGCAGTGGCGCAAAAAGAACGTTGTCAATCACTCCATACTTCGCAAAGATCAAATTGTCAATTTATCTACTGTCAGTTGCTCCTGTCATAATATTGAGACAACAGCAAACAGCATTTGAGGCAGAATACTTACCAAAGTAGAGGCAGAATACACTTCTAGCGATTTCCTGGCATCACCTCCAAACACGAGCTGTCTAACCAAGGTCGGAATGCACCTTCATGGGTCAAATTCTGAATATATCATGAGCATCAGAACATGCTACTAGTATTTTTAAGTAGTTAACAACAATATTAAAGAAGATGAGAACAAAATATCAAATACTAGTTTGCTAATTATTAACATATTTCAATGATTCTGGAAAAATATTAGTGCATTATCCCGTGTAATCTGCCTACAAGGGGTGCTGAGAGGAAAAGACCAGAGATGAATATAACTTTTGGTATAATTTCACGCTATCAGACTTGAATCTAATACCTCAATCTTGTCAGTCCAAGCTTTTTCATTGCAAATTTAACATCTAAAATTCCATTGTAGCCCTATCCTAAAATTTTAGACATTCTAATTACATCAATTAACTAACCTTGTTCAAGTGAGTTGAAATTGATGCAACATCCTACCATTTGTTCATTATTTTGTGCGGGGAACTTCGGAAGTAGTACATATTGGTAATAGAAGGCCAAAAAGTTAATTAAAGTACTGATACTCTTCAAGAGAGGAGGAGGGGGGGACAAATGGTATGATACAGTAACTTCAGTACTAAAGGGAGCTTCTTGCTTTGTGCTGAAGAAATGTCGAGTTCAAAACAAATCTAATTAACAGTGAATCCAGCTGGAGAGATGGATGAAATGACACATATGTATTGGATGTAGGGTGAGAAGACTACCTTCATCATATCTTCATTGACTACTCTCCTTGGGAAAAAGGTGGACCGTGTGATTGAGAAATGTAAAAAGGAGATTTAATTCAGAAAAGGTTCAACTTTCCAAAAGGTTCTGTACTCTTAACAGGGCAGGATTAAATTGTTCAACTTTCTGGGAGGTTCAATATGTGGTTTCTAGTTGTTCTAAAATGGTCTTACTAAAAGTTATGAAGTTCCTGATTTGGAATCCTAGCAATATTGGAATGAGAAGATGTCCACTATAGCCTACAAATACTATCTGTTTCTTATCCCTATATTCGCGTTTTGATTTTGCAATTCTAATCACAGTTACATCCCTGTCATTGTTCATCCCAAAAACCTAATTCCACATCCCTGTCCTCTTTCCTTTAGGACTTTTATTAAACACCCAAAACCTGAAACAAAAATGCTGTCTAAAATTTTTGCCAACTCTTCACCCAAAATTTTACAATAAAAACAATGCCAACAAAGCACTTTTAGTCTAAAACCCAAAAAAACTTTCTCCCACCCTTTTATATTCTTACCTCACGAGTCGACAAAATTTGTCAACCACAAAGTCAACTATAACCAGCAATTTTGAGTTTTCAAAGTATTGTCTGAGATCATTTCCAAAAACAATTATTTAAAATAAGAAAAATATTTTTACAGTAACATAAACGTGATGTAATTAGGTCAAAGGGGATGGAAACTAACAATCAGAGTGTTACTGCACAGTCAACATTTTTAGAACATCAATGCATGAACCATCGCTAGATCCTGAGAGTTGTGACTTCTGATTTAAAAACAAAACCACCTTTGATAAGAGCATTGATTGCGTCATCAATAATATTCCAAAGGATCAAATAACAATAAGTAGGCAGAATGTTATTTGTTGGATTTTACTTCAATTTTATTTTTTCCCCTTTTGTTGGAAGATAACAGAGGGTGTCTCCACTCCCTTCGGGAGCAGGACTACCCTTTGAATACCCATAATGTTATGTCTTCTGCTTCAAAGTTCTTGAGTTTTCTTTTCAATAGTTTCCCTTATTCATTTCCAATTAACTTTTTTATGGATCATAAAGGAGTAAAAAATGTAGATTGATGTTAGTTTCCAACTTTCCTACTTCAAATAACCCTCCTTGTAAACACAGTAATCGGGAGTTGTTAATCAAAATATTTTGACTTCTACTTACTTCTCAAAATAATGATTTCTAATATATTTAAGAACTTATATACCATTCTAACACTAGTGTGGGGGTTAGGGATTTGAACTCTGACCAAAGTCATGGACTAAGTTCGGATCAAAGAGGATTCAAGGGCCAGTGGTTCAAAATTAATGGTTTTTTAAGTCAACCAGCACAGATATTATATAGGTAGATATAGGGAAAAAAAGAAAAAGAAAAGTAGTACCAGTTAATAAAATTTAAGATTTTAGTAAACAGAGGTTTCAAATTTTGGTTTTAATTGGAAATGAGTAATTTTATATTTCTGCAACAATAGCAACTCAAGAGGCTTATATTAGAAGTGAACCATGAAAGGACAGAAACTTCTTAGTGTTGTCTTCGCCACACAACCACGAAAAATTATTAAGCAATGAAGGTGGTATACAACACAGAAACTTGTACTATTTCAGTAAGATACATAGCATATGATCAGCAAATTCAAGCTTAACACTACCGCCACTTATAAAGAGAAGGAGTCGGAGTGGGGGAAATAAATGGGCATACATTCTAGAAGAATGGGAACTAATAATTATAGTTTACATATAAAGTATTTAAATTTTCTCACATGCTACAGAAATTGATATTTACAGAACCATAAATATTACTTTGTTCTTTGAATTATAAATAGTGTTTAAAGTTTGTCTACGACCTATTCCACAACCAACCAACTCACTTCAATAAGTTTTCTTTTCAATGGGTTGAATGACAATGTATTATGTGGCTATATCATGTGACAAACCAAAAGCTAAACAAATCAAGAAGTGCACAAGCAAACAGGATACTCACCTGCATCCAAAAGAAAAAACCACGTAAGAGATTCAGCTCTTTATGTCTATCAAATCGGGCTTCATCAATCTTACTTTTGAGGTCTGCATGATTTAAGAAAAATAATATAAAAAATTAGAAGGAATTTCCAAAAGTTTCTCACAAATAGAAATTTGACTCGAGTTGGATCTGAACTGAAACAAAAACAAAAGTAGTAGGAGAATCATGCACAAATAGTTTCTGAGGGATAATGTCAAGCAGTCAGAGTATCTAACCCAGAGCAGAACAAAAACTTAGCATTTAAATGACATGCAAGAGAGAGATTTGAGAGTAACATGGAAGAAAAACATAGAAAATTTATAAAAGGAGGGAGATCTCATTGGAAAAGAGATAAATGTGAGTCTGTGGCAAGCCAAAGCAGTAATGGGCAGATGAAATGTAGATTTTGATACCCAGTAATTAAACTATTAAGTAATAATTGAATCTCCAGTTAATATACAAGGGTAAATATCACACTTTATCAATTAGATTTATGGACAACTATTGCCTCTAGAAATTATTAAAACCAAAGCACAAATACTTGCCTAAACAGATTTGCAAATGACTGGAGCCTATAAAAATAAATATGCAATGTAATATTGCAGACAAAAGCCATATAATTTGTTATTCAAAATTGAAACTCTAGAACTGAATACAGATATATTTGCAGCTGTGCTTACAAAATCTTTGTTGTGGGTAAAACAATCCTCATATTCCCATTAAGTAATGGACCTTCAAAATTCATAGAGAGATCGTGGAATGTATTGGATTTATGTAAATATGAACCCTAGAAAGGAGCATGAGAAATTAGTCACTTTGAGTAAATGCCATGATTAATAGACTTGTGCTTCAAATGTTACTGGTCTGTATAATGGTTTGTCATTGTTATCAGGTTCATTTATTATTAGCTATTTTTCTGTTTGATAAGTTATAATCAGATACTTCTACAAAGATCTTAAAGGTTCTTTCCATCAAGTATGCCAAAACCCAGCCATTGGACTGCTACTTGTTCTCATGTCAATCAATGAAATTCAGGTACAGATTAAACAACTTCAGATGAAGATTCCCCTTTTCTTCAGAAGTAAGACTTATGTCCCAACCGTAACATGAATGCCTCCCCCTTTGAGGGAGGATAGAAAGAGCAGTCAGGTGATTGTGACATTGAGTATTTTACAGAAATTGTTTTGACGAGAGGTTTCGCATCCTATTCGACAATCAAGAGAGAGAGAGAGAGAGGCAAAGTAAAACATCAATTGGTTCTGTTTATTTATCTTTTCAGAGGCTAATCTAACTATACACTCAACATACAATAATATAAGAATGCATGTTTATCCAAATCAGAAATTTGCAGTCCTCCTTGTTAGTCAGAATAGGAAACGAGGAAAAAAAAATCGCCTTATCCACACAACAGAATATGAGAATGAGTTATCTAGTGCAAGCATGACAACATCCCCACAATGGAGAGAGACAACAAACATGAAATTGAATGTAATAAAATAAGTAGGCAATTTCCAATTAGAACAGGTATAAACATTTGGAAGGGGAGGGGGAAATGGATGAAGCAGAAAGGATAGGTAAATGCTATTTAAAGATGTTTGCCATTTCTTGTGTTCATCTAAGAAAAAGTATCCTGGTGCTTGAAAGTTGAAACCATTGTCTTTGACCAAAAAGCTATTACCAATACTTGCCTTATCTATGAGGGGTGTTGGGCAGGGAAGATGGCAAACAAACCTGACCTTTTGTACAATGACTGCTGTCAGAGATTCAGACTAAAAACCACATCCTCATAGTTATCCACCCAAAATTTTACCATTGCACCAAGTAATAATCAACATCCGTTGCCCATGGCATAATGGAATTTAAACTACCATACTATAGTTTGTAGTGGGTAAAGAAAACTGGGAAAATATTGAAGCCATAATAATCACAAGATATAACATCATTACACGATTTGGGTCATTATAAGACAATTTTATGTTCACTCTTCAGAAAAGCTGAAGCTCAGTTCAAGTCAGGAATAGGGGTTGCTAGAAGGTAAGGAAGCACATTCTAATTCTAAATACATGCAAAGTAACAATAACAATAGAAGTTATTGAGTGACTAGGAATTTTGAAATCATTAGAATTTTTCAGCACTATGAGTAACCAAGAATCAAAAAGTTCATGGTGCTTTAGGAAAACACAAGGCAAGTTAAGAAAGGAATAAGATAGATGGTAACTACCAAAAACAAGGAATAACGTATTGAAAATTTCATAATTCTGATAAACAACATCCTACTTAAAATTGTGGACATTCCGTAGAGTCGATTGAAAAGGAAGTTCTCCTAAGGCCATTGGGTGAATGGCACCCAAGTCTTTGGGTGCAAAAGATTTAAAGGAAGGCCCTAGTCCATACCTGTTAAGGATTAGTTCAATGATTCCTGCGCTACTAGCTTCTGAAGTAGACAATTTGACAAAGGCTGAGGTGGTACTAATGATAGAGGAAAGTTGCGCTTTCCTTGACAAGAAGGACAACAATAAGAAATCCAATAGTTCCATTTTCATTCGTCTTTAGAGACTACTAGCAATAGCTATGATCATTTATTTTAGGATTTGGTTTCTTTTACGTTGCTTCCTATCTAAATCTACCAGTTTCAACACAATTTCAGGATTGAAGGTCTATCAAGCCTTTCTTGCTTGCACTTTAGGGACTTGACTTCTGAGTTTTTACCAATGATTGAAGAAAGAATAAGCTTTTCCAATGCCTCCCTGCTTTAGAGGGACTTTTCATAATGGATTTCGTACCCCAAGGGATTAGACTTATGATTCGAAGACCAAGTCAGAGACTACTGGACCGTGGATTCCTACTTCCCAAAATGGGGAATATTGGCTAGGCTCGCCAAGTACTAAAAGGCTGGAGCCTGCCCACTCAACTCTTTGATTCTGCCATTCTATGAGTCACTTTCTATCTTGCTCAGGGGTCTGTCTAGAGGACTCTTTCTCCTAAGGACACTTGCCCAGTAGATAAAATAGCAAGCCTTGGCTCTCACGCAAAGAAAAAAATTATTCACTGAATCTATAAAATATAATATATAGTGGCAGAATTCTATATAATATAATATATAGTCATATAGTGGCAGAACATTTAGAGACTTGGAATAGTTTCTCTCTCAATCATTTGAAGACCAATGATCCATCTTCGTTTCGAGCAGATTTCTTCATCAAAAGCTGGCAACATGAGCCCCTCACCCAGAGATTTGGTAGGAAGGTGGAATAGAGTTTGAAAACAACTTCGTAAATGAAAGAATATATCTGTTAGCATTTAGTTAAAATATCTACTCTTGAGCAGCTAATGTCCAAACTGTACAATCAGGAAAAAACAATTATAAAAGAACATATTAGTTTCTAAGTTTAAAGTGTTGTCAAAGTTGCATCATACCATTGTTGTGGTGATACTCAAAATAGAAGAAACATAAAATGACTTCAATGGCAAAGAAAAAGGGTACGTGGCATTCAACTTACCATCATAGTGATCAAGATATGATTTGCCGATATTACTTGCTTGGTAAAATAGTGGTCCCGAACAATGCGAGTCTAAATTACGTTGCACTGGCTTTCTCGTCTTTAGTGATCGCGAAGGACGCAATTCTAAATTACGTTGCACTGGCTTTCTCACCTTTATATTATGCAAAAGCAGTTCATACTCTTCCTGGTCATAAGGTCTTCCAAGAATACCCACAACCTTCTCCCTAAACTGAGATTTGTTACTTTCACTTGAATTTCCCAGGCACTGCCAATTGTCACCCTCCAACTAAACAAATGCAACACAACGAAACAATACAACAAACCAATGTAAACAAATTTCAAAAGCATAGATAAGTCAAAAAATTCTAGAAGATACAGCAGAGGAGGATACATACAGATGAATAGAACATTCTTGAAGCTACAAATGGATGCTTTGATGGAGTACTACCTATCTCTAATATTTCTACATCAGAGGAACTATCAATATCGTCTTCTTCATATTTTACCCTCTTTCCATTCTCAGTCACGAAAACAAGACAATCACCTTCCAGTTCGATACAATTCAGGAATACTTGGTAGCATTCATCCACCACACCATTTTCCAAACTTTTGGGGAATTCCATCTTATCTTTCCCAAGAATGCTCCTCGAAGTCTTTTGAGTTTGAATCTTGTCTTTGCTCAGAACAACGCTCACATCTTTACAAGCTCCTATATTCTCTCTATTCGAACAATCCCCTGATTTCCTTGCACTTTGCAGCTCAAGCTCGTTATCCAGCTCACACTCCTTTTCATATCTTATTAATAAAGACCTCCCGTTCGTCATAGTTACCTCCAGTTCATATGAATCCCCATCCCTTAAATTCTCCAAGAACATCTTATAGTCAGGGTCCATGTCTTCTTCATCACAGACATCATCATCATCACTTTCCCTGACAGAGTCGACTGATTCTCTATAATTCAAATACGACACGTAATCCTCATCAATATCATCTCCCAATTGATTCTCTTCTAATGTTCTCTTTAATGTACTACGAGAAGTATTTAGGTCGGAATTTCCAGTACCAAGTCGCCTTCTCTTCAATCGCCTGGCTAGTCTTTCATCACCCAATTGATTCTCTTCCAATGTTCTCTCTAACGTACGACTAGAAGTATTTAGCTCAGAATTTCCAGTACCAAGCTGCTTTCTCTTCAATCGCCTCGCTAGTCTTTCATCACCCAATTGATTCTCCTCCAATGTTCTCTCTAATGTACGACTAGAAGTATTTAGCTCGGAATTTCCACTACCAAGCTGCTTTCTCTTCAATCGCCTTGCTAGTCTTTCATCACCCAATTGATTCTCTTCCAATGTTCTCTCTAATGTACTACTAGAAGTATTGAGCTCCGAATTTCCAGTACCAAGCCGTTTTCTCTTCAATCGCCTCGCTAGTCTTTCATCATTAACAAATTCGGAATTACCCACATAAACAAGTTCCATATTAGCCCAGAATCCAACTTAGTCACCTTAAACTCCAAACTTCCTTTTTCTTTTTTTCTTTTTTTTTTTCCCCTTGTTGCCCCAATACAACTACTCTTTCAGATAAACAAACCCCAATGAACAGAAATTATTTCTGCTAAAAAAAGGAAAAATAAATAAACTGAAGTTAGATAACGAATCATGGAGTTTTAAGCCACATGCAGAGATCAAATGTACAATAATTAAGCAATCTTGAACTATTCCACAAACCTAAGTTTATATCAAAACATAAATAAATAAAAACTTTGTTTTTTTAGTAAGACAGACTCACAAACCCATAATTGCAGCTTATTGCCCTCAACCTTTCACTTGAAAGGCAGAGAAAATGCTTACAAGATACATACAGGCCTATACATACATCGTAGATGTGTAACAATAATAATTGAGTAATGATACACATTGAAGACTGTTATGCACGATCGCACTCTCTCTCTCTTAAATTCATTCTCTCGCCTCGATTCCCCTCTATTGCAATTTCAGTTTCTACCATATATTCTTTGCCTATTACGGATCTTTCTCTATCTCCAAATCAGTAAAATGTTGAAAGAGAAAGATCTTTCGAGTGATGTGTTATCGTCCAAAATCAAAGAGCACAATTAGGGCATATATATATATATCAAATATTAAATTTGTAAACTCATCACAGTCTATACAAATCCTCACCTTTCAAAAAGTGATACGGACATTGTGAGATGCATAAACATATCAACTATTACGATCTATTTTCACCTGCAGAAAAATAAACGGAAGCGAAGGAGCTTGCTGCAATTTCAACCAAAACCTACAATATCTGGGAATTCTGGCTCCAGAGAGCTTAATTTGGGTTATATATGTGATTATTTCAGGCCGTTTTGACACACACACACAGTGAATTCAGTTGTCAAAGGAACGAGAACAATAGATGGATAATTGGACATGTTCTAAATAGGGTAAACAAAAAAAAACTCCCGGGTATTGCAAGAAACCCCTGGACTACCAAAAATAAATCCCTAAACTATTGTTTTGTTGCATTTTACCCCATTGGCTCACCAACAAAAAGCAAAAGACCGACCATTTGACTCTTGCTATAAAACGATGCAGTTTTTATTTTCCCCCTCCTACTTCTTGTCTTTATGAACGATGCAGTTTTGAACTTTAGCTTATGACGTGGCTAGAAATATCTTAATAACTAATGGGAGTGTGACAATTTGTGATACCCTTGATTTCGGAATACGAATTGATCAGGTGTACGGAATCGAGAATACGAATTGATCAGGCGTACGAAATCGAGAGATATCAAAACAATGAATATTTTATAAGGAACATAGATTTTAAAAAGATAAATAATAAAAAAAAAAAAATGTTGAAGGGAAAACTAATTAATATATAAATAAATAATAAATCCTCTAAATTAATTCATTAATTCCAAAGATAAATAATCCTTTAAAGAATAATCCGCAAATTCCTAAATATAATTAATTCTTCAAAATACAACTCGGAATCCTCAATGTGGACCTTTAATAAAAATTTCATAAGCGAAATAAATATTAGTGTCTAAAACTGAATAAATAAACATGAAGTACAATCCTACATCGACGACACCAGAAGAGTAATGAAGATAAGTCTTTGACCTGTGCGAGCAACCTCTAAGCTTGCTACTGACGAGGACTAGAAAAGAGATAACAAAGGTGGGTCAAAACCCACGAACAAGTCATTTTTACGACAACCCAAATAGAGACCTGATGAACTATACATCTATAACTAACTCATGTAATAACTACATAATCGATAAATAAATATACACACTAAAGTCTCTCACTGGACTAAGGCAGACTCAACCGGATAGTGAGTATCTCATGCAAAACGTACACGAGGTGGTTATGAGTCCTCCTTCTATCAAGGTACACAAGTCCCTAAAATCCAACTACCCATCTCAATTGGCAATATATGCCTCCATCTGAATCACTGATCATGAAACCTCAAGCTCGTATCATGGTACACATAATATCATTATATATAGCTAGCCATATCCCGACAATGGCACACCAACTTGTTAGGATATGTGTGCCCTAGCATAGCAAATTCTAATTTTGGATTATAAAAGTCATGATTTCTTGTCTGGATATTATTATTAAAGCATTATACAATTGGTGAATGGAATGTATTATTTTTCGATTCTTTATGGAATTGATGGTGTCCGCTTGATTACAAAATATATTTATATATGTATGTAATGGCAATTAATACTATAATATAAATTAGTAATCATAAATGGTTTAAAGTCGGTAATTATGGATGGACATTTAATTAGTTAAGACTTAAACCGAGTCCACGATAGATTAAGATATATTGCGAGAGCTGTCGTATGCAATTGCTCTCTATCACAGTCATGGCTTTTGACTCTCAAGTATGAGAGAAGTATAGACTCTTTTATTAATTAATAATTACTTTGATTTGTTCGGCGGATACCTCGGGATCCTTAGATCGACACTTTGGGTAGTTATGTAATTAATAATTAGAGATCTATATTCTCAATATTTGCATCAGTGCTATTTCTATTTATTTTGTTTTGATTATGGTTGATCACAAATTAAATTCGAAGGCCTTCGTATGTTTTAGACAAATGTTTTATATATATATATTTATTTAATAAATTATTATTATTTTTTGTCAAATAAATATTTTATTGTGATCGAGCCGGAAATAATCAAAGGTAACAAAATAATTATATTAATTATGTTGTCGGATTGATGGCTTTAATTATCCGATAAATAATTAAGCATAGAGGGGTCAAAGTGCAACATTGACTTAGAGGTTATTTACTATTTAATTGGAGTGCAATTAATTTCTTTTAGTGGAGTAGAAATTAATTTATGAATTAATTGAATTGGGTCCATGGTTTAATGGACTGGACCAATTATTAATTTATAAGAGCCAAGAAAATAGTAAGCCCAAAAGGATTCTCACCAATAGCCCAAGTTGATATTGGAGTCATGTTAGGATTGAGAAAGTTGAATTAGAGATGGAGAATGATTTATTGTTTCCTTATTCTTATTTTTATTTTGCCTATATATACATGAGTTTATGTATATTTTAGGTGTGACTTGGAGAACAAGAAAAAGGAATACACTTTCTCTCTCTAGATTTTAGGGTTTTGTTTCTCTTCTAAAGGAGGCTACCACCAGCCTAGATTCCAAAGTCATTCATCAAGGCATATTGGTGATTCCTAAAGGGAAGATAATAATCAAAAAAAAGGAGAAAGGATCTTGCTAAAGGGATCTACAATAAGTGAGAACATTCACTTTAGAGGAAAGTTCAAAAGGTTTACTCAAACCTTTGATGTAAGTATTCAATCTGTTTATTGAATTATGCATCATCTTTTATTTATCTTTGCATAAAACTTGTCTCCATGTAAAGAATCAAGATCTATGATTGCAAATCCCTCAAAAAGTTTTAAAAACTTGCACGTTTCCCAACAATGGTATCAGAGCACATGGTTTGATTCATTACTAGAGAACATGTATTTATAAAAATCATATTCATGGATCCAAATTATATATACATATATAAAATTATTGATATATGTTGATGTATGATTTATTATGTTGGTATATATTAATACATGATGATGTATGTATAATTGTGAATGGATGATAATATGTGTTTGGGCCATGGATGAAGCTTATAGGTATATAGAATGTAATTTTATTTTTGGATGAATGTAATTAAGGCTTTGTTTTAGCCGTTTGAAAATTCAATGATGTAATTTAATTTTTTCCATTGTATTTCAAATTGTAAGTATTTATTAAAGCCATGTAATATTCATCAAAGGATGCTATGAAGCTTCAAGAGGGTCCGAAAGGGTTAAATTATGCTTCAGTAATTTTCTGAAATTTTTCCGAATTTTTCGGGAATTTTTTGAGGCTTAATTTAATTTTCTGGGATTCTTCCGGATTTTTTGGAATTTTTTCGGCATTTTTTCGGTGGCCGGAGCTTCGCCGGCGGCGAGAAGAGGCGTCGGAGGTGGCCTGGATCAGGTGTGGCAGTGGCTAGGTGAGCCTGGCGCGTGTTCCACACGCTGGTCAATGACAAGCTGGCGCGTGGATCTCACGCGCCAGCCAAGGAGTTGGTACACTCCACGCGCGGGAAGGCGCCTGGAGGAGCGTCCCACGCGCCCCAGGCGAGTGGGAGCGCGTGAGGGTGCATTCCACTCGCCCCAAGGACGTGCCGGCGCGTGGGGGAGAGTGGGAGCGCGTGCAGCTTGCCCTAGGCGCGTGCCAGCGCGTGTGGGGTCCTCCGGGCTCGTTCCAAGCGGCGTTTTGCTTCTCCTGATGCGTACAAGCTTCCTATGGGTGTTTACAGACAGTTGAAGGATGCCCGTACATCAAGAATAGTTTTTAAATGTTAAAAGCTGAATCCATTGGCCATTTATATTGCTTCTGTCTATTATTTGATGCATGGAATAATTTAATGCTTATTATAATTGTTCATGCATTGGATTCATGATTTTTAATTAAATGGCTTGATTTATATTAATTAAATTATGAAGATAAATTGGATTAGATTGCTAATTAATTTGAGAGCATTTATTGGAAAACAGAAAAATTATTTTTGTAAATTATTTTTTGCCTCAAATTAAATATTAGTGAATCATTTAAAATCCATATATTTTTTAAATTTAATTGGATTAAAATCAAGGCGTTTTGCATTCATTAAATCATGAATTGAAAACCCTAATTTTACATTATTAAAAATTGAGTGGGAGCGGGGATTTTTTATACATTACCCCATGACCTTCGTAATTATAACCATTATGATTAGATATTTAAAAATAAGGTTCCATGCATGATTTAAAGAGTCTAGATTACAAGAATGGTTGTCTCACGAAAATATATTTATTAAATAACCATTATAGTTAGATCTTTAAAAATAAGGCCCTACGCATGATTTAAAGAGTCTAAGCTATTAATGGCAATATATTTAATATTTGTTTTCCCGTTGGAGCATTAATTATGTTATACACTCAATCTAAAATCAATAGTATTAGCTCCATAACAGAGTGGTCTATACTAGGTGATTTTAGAAAGGCTAAATCTAATCGAGAATTATTTCATATTTAGATAAGGCATTGTCTAAAGAGATATGGAAATAATGAGTTATTCTCGTCAATAAGCAATAATGAATTCCGCCAACCGGATAAGTTATTGGCATATTGATTGTCCGATTTTTCATGCAATGTGGTTAAGGGACCCACAATTAATTAATTATTTTATACTTGCATGATTATTATTATTCACTCTATTTATTGTATGAATGCTTTTATTTTCAGATTTATCATGACTAGTCCATTAGTCCACTTGCAAACATACTAAAAGAAAATCGATTAACTGGACCTAATTATATCGATTGGAAAAGGCAACTAGATATTGTACTCACATATGAGGGGTTGAATTATGTGCTTACTACTCCTAGACCTTCTCCACCTTTGCCTGAGGATCCTCCTGAGGAGCATGAAGTATTTAAGAAATGGAATAAAGCAGATGAGATGACTAGGTGCTACATTCTTGCTTCACTCTCGAATGTACTCCAAAGTCAACATCTTCAATATCTCACTTCTGCAGACATCATGCTTAACATTAAGGAAATGTTTGGGCAAATTGGTAAGAGCGCACGCCAAAATGCTATGACAAATTTGATGACCATTAAGATGGTCCAAGGTACTTCAGTTCGGGAACATGCTTTAAAAATGATTGGTTTTTTAAATGAACTGGAGATCCTTGGATGCAACTTGGATGGTGAACTTCAGGTTGACATGATTATCGCTTCATTGCCAGACTCATTTAACTCTTTTAGGGTTAATTATTATATGAATAAGCTTGAGTACACACTTGCTGAACTATTGAATGAGTTGGTAACCTTTGAAGGGATAAACAAAAGCAAGGGTGTATCTATCAACTACACTCAGTCTGCTGGACCATCCACTTCTAGGCCCAAGAGGAGGGGCAAGAAAAAGAAGAAGGATGGTGCCAAAACTGTGGTTGTGTCAA